TAATACTTGTATAACAAACCGAGTTTTAAATCTTCTCTCAACTTAGACCAAAGTTAAAAAAGGCTTATGGGCACCTCATTTTATCTTTAGCTACAAATACAAGGATCAGATCCATAGCCTTTCCCACTAACATTTTGCCTTCTCCCCGTTTAAAATCCCCAGACTACATCAGCATCATTCTCTCTCAAGCAGCTTCTTAAGCCAAGAGATTTGACTCTTGGGAATAGTAGTATATTTGTGATGGTGTCCATGGCTATAATTTCAGCCACCTTAAAAAGCAAAGCTATGGCATATCACCAACCCTCTGTATTTGACATCTTCTAAAAGGAAAACCACATGAGCATTCATGACAGGTCAAGGTGCATGATCTGTGATATAAAGGGTTTTTTTTTGTTCTCTTTCTCTTATTTTTGCGATGCATTTAATTTGCTTGTATATATGCAAATGCAGACCTCAGTCATCAATAAACAGGTTGTAGTGTCTGTTTATAGCAAAAAGTATATTTATCTATCAAATACTCTCTTTTTTTTTTTTAATGCCCAAAAAGCCTCCATTCTGATGTTTGCTTGTCACAGACACAGTTTATGAAAAATCCTTCCCTTAGGATTTTTTCTTATGAGAAGCTGAGAGGCCTCAGGAACAAAATGTAAACAATGATTATCTGCTGCTGTGGAATGCAACAGCTGCATCTTTGATTGGTCTCATGTGGTTGTTTCTAATTAATGGCCAATCACAGTCAGCTGGCTCTTTGACTCTCTGTCCAAGACACAAGCCTTTGTTATTCATTCTTTCCTTTTCTATTCTTAGCTAGCTTTTTGATTAAATCCTTTCTTCTATTCTTTTAGTATAGTTTTAATATAATATTTATCATAAAATAATAAGCCTTCTGAAACATGGAGTCAGATCCTCATCTCTTCCTTCATCCTAAGACCCCTGCGAACACCATCACATTTACTGAAAACCATTTTGGGATTTTTGAAATTTCATCATCTAGTTAGGCTTTCTCTTTTCAGTATAACAAAATCACTTAAATATTATGTTAATAATAATACATATATAATATAATAATAAAATATTTATAATACTTCAGTATAACTTAAAAAAACCCTTCCTGAGCAGGATATATGTATCTGAGGGGAACAAAGGGTCTCTAAAAATAAATCTCTAGGGTAACAGTTTTGACCTCTTTGGCATATGCAATGCTAACCTTCTTCTGGTTCTTATTCTGCCAGGCCTCTCTTAGTGTATGTGAATCATTAGACAGTAGGCAGCAGGGTTAGAAGTATACAAATATATATATTTATTTAGGGAGCTGAATGTCAAACAGTTCCCTGCTCTTAATAGCTGGTGATTTTACAAGTCAGACACTTTCCTTGTGCTGTCCCTCTGGTTTGGGTTTCACACAAGATCGTCTTGGCACTTGCAGTCTTGGCAGGCAGGCTGTGTGCTCTCCTCTTCCTCTTCTGCTGATGTGCCTTCAGCCTACTGCTGATCTGTGGAAGGGAAAGCAGCCATCAGAGGGAAATCCTCATCTTCAGTGCTGCAGTCACTAATTTCTCCAGACACCTCCACCACCGCTTCTCTTTCATCTCTGTACTCGCGGTGGCCCATGAAGTACTGGTTGGTGTTGTGGGGCGTGCACATCCCTGGCAGGCGGTATCCTGCCAGGTTCATGGGCCGGAGGCGCGCTCTTGCCTCTCGCTGTATTGCTGCTGGCAGATGTGAGGTTGTGATCCAGCAGCCCTTCTTTGCGTTCCAGAGCAGCTCGCTCTTTTCATCACTGCCGCTCTGCTCGCCTGCCTGGTCTTGCTGGAGGGGCTCAGTGCATTGTAGTGGTTGTTGCTTCCAATTCCTGCTGCACTTGTGACCCTGCCACTGTGCCTTCCCAGGCTGCTTCTGCTGCAGTCCATGCACAGGATCATTGTGCTGGCCACCATGCCTCTCACAGCCATTTGAGGACGATGCACAGGGGTTCTGCTCCATGAGGTCCTTCTCTCTTTTCTGTTGCCCTCGCTGACTGTCTCCGTTAACGTGTCTCCTGCCTCTGTTCTTCCATTCCTGCTGTTGCCTCCTGCCCCTGCCAGCCCTGTTGCTATACAGGAGCACAATAAGCATGTCTTTTGCCTGTACTTGGTGGCCCTGCCTTGGTCTCTTGTCCCTGTCCTGACCTTGCTGTGCCTTCTAGCACTGCCCAGCAGTGACGGCAGCCAGCAGCAGGGCACGGCTGGGGGAGCGGTATGGGGGTTGGCTTTCCCTCCAGCTGCGGCCTGGCCCAGCAGCCATGGCCCCATGGGGGTGCTTACCTGGCAGGCCGGTGAGGGAGCCTGTCCATGCTGACACCCTGCTGTCCTGTAGAGGCTCTTTGTGTGGGCACTCTGTGACAGTCTGCCATGCCGCCCTGCCTGGAGGAGCCAGTGGTGCTTGGCAGTGACATGGAGCTGGGGACAAGGGCACAGTCCATCAGTCAGTAGGGGGCCCTCCCGTGTGGGCCCTGCAGGCCCAGGCCAGGCCTCACTGGAACAAATCCAGTCTCTGGCCCTGAAACCATCACCAGCCCTGATAGCATCACCAGCCCTACTCTGTGATTCCCTCCAAACACCTCGTGGCACTGAGGGAAAATTGTCCTGGGCACCTGGTGAGGAAGGATGTGGAGGGACTAAGTAGCTGTCAGGAGCTGGCACAGAAAATCAGCACCTTCAAAAAGGCTTTCTCACCCTCCTGACTCAAAATTCTGTATCCAGCCCTTATGTCAGCTGTTGAATGAATTCCTAATTTTTCAGTGTGGAAGGTGGAAAGATAGATACCAGGCTTATCTCAAGATTAATTTTCTTTACACAGCATATTGGCATAACACCAGGTGCTATTTGTAGCATCCTTCTTGTTGGCGTTTTGTGATACAGAATAAAAACTAATAAATCATAGAATTACAGAATGGTTGGCCTGGAAAGAATCTTAAAGATCATCTAGTTCCAACCTCCCTGCCACGGGCAGACACATCTACCCCTACACCAGGCTTCTCAAAAACCCCAGTGTGTTTGTTATGGTGAGAGAAAAAGCTCTATAGATGACAGCTATGTTGAAGAAAAGAGTGTCCTCATTCTCACCACACAAAGATAAGGATGGGGTTTTTGGGGCTGTGTTTGTCTTTGGAAGTTTGCACATTTTCTGTTGCTGGGAATAGGTAGGTATTTATTATTTTAGGCTTCCTGTCCTTCCACTGACACTGTCAGACCAGGCTTATGGTTTCATAGTAAGTGATGCATTTATACTAGTTAGACCAGAAACTGTATTTGTCTTTTGCTGAGAGATATCATCAAGGACTCTGAATTTTTGTACTTAACAATTAGAACATCTGTATAGTATCATGCCCAGCAATAAATTGTTCTAATGGCATTTATAGTCTACTTATTTAAATACAAAATAAAATAATTATAATTAAAAAAATATAGAATAATCGTTTTGCAGTATGCTATACAAAAAGATTTTCCTACCACAAACAAAATACCAAAGCCAACCAAATAGCTCCCTCAACAAAAACAAAAGCAAAACCATTTCACATGGTCTTCGTTTTTATCATCAAAGAGTTTTCCATTCCTTCAGCTTTCATTAAAGATGAAAGGGAAAAAAAACAGTGCATAGGGTCGAGTTTACCAACCAAGTAAAGACAAGTCTCATCTACCCTTAGTGTCAGGCGTTGGTATGATTTCAAGTGTCGCTATCTTTCAACACACGATGGCAGTAGCAGTCCATGAAATGATTAGCTGACGCTCTACATGACTGAAACTAAATCTGCCTAAGGCCTTTTTTTCTAGATAGCTATAGTCTTTGCTTATGAATATTGACAGTTCTGAGCCCAGCTCCACAGAGAAATTAAACAAAAAAAATAAGAGGAAGGTTCACAGTCTTTTCCTGATCAAGGTGACCCCTAGATATTATCCCAGGTACAGTTTGTGATCCCAAACTCCATGTAAGAAAAGGCAGACCAGTGCTTTCATTAACCACAATGTAATTATAGCAGGTTCTGCAGTCATTCTTTATCTCCTGGTTATTTTGGGGATCTCCTCAAATCAAAGATTTCTCTAGCAGCCCATTTAGCTAATAACACTCCCTTATCTGTGATCAGTTTTGAGTGAGGTATCAAAGGTGCTTACTGGAGAGCCATATTGACTAAGCATTTATAACTTTTTTCAAACTACATTGCCATTTCAGTTTCATTGCATCAAGAGAAAGTCTTTTAGACATGTGGCTTAATCCTCATAATTATGAGTTTGATTTAATGCCATTACTTGTCTCCCTGTTGAACCCTGATAGCTTCAGCCTTTCTACAGAACATGTCTTCATGTATTTACTTTCAGGTGAGATATTTACTAGAAAACAGACATTTAACATCAACTCCCTGTAACTTAAAGTAATTACATGTTTGAGATTCTCATGGGTCTCCCAAGTCGAGTCTGTGGCTGAAGGAGCATTTGTACTGGTCAATGGATTGTGCTGCTGAGGTAAGCCTGTATGCTTCCCAGCTCTGAACCCAGCAGCAGAAATAGCTGCATCACTCCAAAAATCCCAAGTTAAAAGGATTTACCAAGAATCTCATCAGCATTACAAAGATAAATTATTGCTGCAAAAATATAGATAGATTATGGAAGGGTAATCTGAAGGATTCAGTTTTCTGAAGAAAACATGTTTTTTGGAATATTGCTAATACTTTTCCAAAATAAAGGGACCTTTAAGGAAAGAAGTAGAAAATTAGACGTATCTCTGAGAGAATAATATTTAATTAAAATAAAACCCAGTAAATAATCAATGGTGTACACAATTTTATTTTTATTTCTTTGTTTACCATATAATAGTTAGACCTTAATATGTAAAATTTATTTAAATTTAGAATTCATACATTAGATCTGAACAATTTAGCAAAAAATGTTGTATTTGCATTGTTTTTGTAGTAAAGTATTTTTCTTGATATTGCTAAATAACTTGCAGTTGGGCAGATAATGGATTTGTCTTTTAGCATTTCATAATCTTCTCGGTATTTCAGTAAAATAAATTCCAATATTAACAGAAATATTTCCTGAATAAATGATGTTTGTAAAAATTCATCTAGGTTGATGTAGCTTAGATGAGGTTACCAACTGGCAAACGGGGTAGACACATGTAAGCATAAGGTGTTTTGCTCAGGTTGATGGGATTGCCATCCAGCCTGATGTCTTCAAGAGCCCTACGCACATAAGTAAAATCCCTCCTTTTGCAGAAGGTATCTTCATGCATCTCTTGAATGTTGTTGTTCTAAAAGAAAACAAGCAAACAAAGGAGCTATCAGAATAGTTATCTGAAAGTAATTTTTTATTCTGAAACACCATTTATGGATGTATTTTCAGTGTGTAGAGAGATACTTGCTTGAACTCAAGGGCCCAGATTGTGGCAGCAAGTTATCAACAGAGAAATCTTCCAAGCAGGGGAAAATTTCTTGGCCAATGCAAAATTTCAGAACTAAGTAACTCAAACCATGTAGCAGAGACAGGCTTTGAAGGAGGAGCCTGGTAGAAGTACAGAGCATTTTCATTTCCAGATTATAGAGAAGAGCCATATTAAGACAAATTTGATCCACAATAGGCCAGTCCATAAATCTAGAAACATAATTATCATCCTGACATCTTAATATGCCTCAATCTGCAAAGGTACAACTCTGTAATTTGATCTGTGACAATTTATTTCTCCCCAGCCCTGTCACATTAGTTTAATTCACACCTGTATATGTACTGGCAAAATTTAATGCATTTGGTTTTATTCCTTTGATTTAAATTGCTCTTACATGCCTTATATTCACTGGGCTTCCATTCTTGAAGCAAACCATTCTCAACAATGAATTGCTGGAATTCAGCATTGTCAGGAAACTGGGACTAAAAAGCTCATTACCTAAAAGGAGGTCTGAAAATTGTTCCCTTCTCCATTCCTTTGCTAGTGAAAAATTGGAGCGGACAAAGTCCTGCTCACTAACTTTTTTCTGTAGCACATAGCACTGAATATTTAATTTACAGGCTCAAACAGGTGAAAAGGAAGTCAGCTAGAATGCAGAGAGTTTCGATCAATTTACCTACTAAAAGATCAAGGTTAAATGATCTGAGGCACATTACATTGCTTACTGAAAGGTTTTTTCTGTATGATGTAATAAGTAAAAACATCTGATAAACAAAACTGTAAATTGGTACAAGATGAGATAAAGGGAAAAAAACAGAGCTGGAAAAGGTTAAAAGGAAGGATTCAGAAAGAAACTATTAGGTCATAGTAATTCTAGAATTTGATTTTTGAAAAATATTTTATTAAAAATTCTGAAAATTAATGCTTAGCAGAGCTAAATTTTACTTCTCTAAAAGACTTGCAATCACTAGTTAATTTTATGTTTCCCAAAGCTTGTTTAGTCAAGGAAGAACACCTTTGGATAAAAAGAAGAAACACTACAAGACAAATATTTGCCCTTCTGAGTTGTGCATATACTTTGAGCATGATATAAAGAGCCATTTCTTTTGTAGCCTACCTGAAGATGAAGAGCTTGGAGGCTTTCAGGGAGTGGCAATGGAATGTGATCCAAGTTATTGTCAGTGATATAAAGATGCTTCAGTTCATCCAGATTCTAGAGGAATATGGAAGAAAACAGGAGGAAATGAGAGATATATTTGAAAATCTCTGGCAAGTAAGTTTGAAATCTATCACTGCAATGAGCACGACTGGTTAGCAAAACATTTTGTCTCAGCATGATATGGTGAAAAGACAGAAATTTAAAGACAGTAATGAACTCTTATTTGTATAGGCTGAGAATGTTGCTGATAAGGTTAAAATAAAGGGCAAAATGTTTTTCAAAAATCTACAGAATTATTAAAGATGTAATTTTAATGATGATGTTGTTACCTTTCTCTTTTGTGACAAGACTACTAAATTTTGCAGAAGTGCATTGTATTGAAGCAAATTATAATTGTATAAGAAATGCCTGAGTTAAAAATACATTTCTCATTCTTTTCAAAAGGTAAATAATTTTCTCCCTTGACTTGTTGGAGGAATGAGTGCTGAGAAATCTGGCAGACACCATAGCTAGGTTGCTCACAGTGGTCTTTGAAAGGCCACAGGGATCAGGAAGAGTGCCTGAGGAATGGAGGTAAGCCAGTGTCACCCCTATCTACAAAAGGGCAAGGTGGATCTAGGGAACTGCCATTCAGTCAGCTTCACCTCCATCCCTAGAAGGGTTATGGAGCGCCTCATTCCAGAATCCATCTTCATCCCCAGGGATGATAAGAAGGTGATCAGGAGTAGCCATCATGGATTCACTAAAGGTAAATCATGCTTGACTAGCCTGATTGCCTTCTAAAATGAAACAACTACCAGAGTGGATGAGGGGAAAACACTGAATATTTTCTACCCTTCAGCAAGGCTTTCAATACCTTCTCTCCTACTATACTCTTAGCAAACTCAGGAAGCGTGGACTGGAAGAGTGGAGGGTGAGGTGGATTGAGAACTGACTGAATGGCAGATCCCAGAAGGACCTAATAATCAATGGCACAGTACAGTGGGAGGTCTGCCCCTTATGCACTTATGAACCTTATCCCAAGGTTCAGTGCTGGGCCCAGTATTGTTTAACATGTTCATCAATGACTTGGGTGGAAGGACAGATGCCTCCTCAGCAAGTTCATTGATGACACAAAGCTGGGCTGATACCCCAGAAGGACATGCGGTGCTCCAGAAGGACCCCAACAGTCTGGAGAGATAGGACGAGAAGAACCGTCTGAAATTGAACAAAGGCAAATGCAGGGTCCTGCACCTGGTAAATAATAATCAGCAGTACAGACTGGGGGCCAATCTGCTGGGAAGCAGCTCTGCAGAGAAGGACCTGGGGGTCCTGGTGGGCAACAGTCCATGAGCCACCAGTGCCCTTGTGGCCAAGAAGGCCAATGGAGACCTGGGGTACATTAGGAAGAGCATTCCATCAGGGCAAGGGAGGTGATCTTGCGCCTCTGCTCAGCCCTGGTGAGGCACATCTGGGGTGCTGTGTCCACTTCTGGGCTCCTCAGGACAAGAGAGAGGCATGGAGCTCCTTGAGCAGGTCCATTTGAGGGCTAAAAAGGTGATTGGAGGACTGGAACATCTCTCTTATGAAAATAGGCTGCATTTTTAACCACATCCTCTGGAGAGAGGAAGAAAATATTTTCCCATCACACCCAAACTTACTTTAAATGCCTCATTTGGTATCCCTCTGCGACCAAGCCTGTTCTTGCTAACATCAATGAATGTTAAGGAAGATGGTAACTCAGGGAGTTGCCTTATCCTATTGTCACGGAGCACCAACTCCCGAAGTTGGGGCAATCTTCGGAAGGCATCCTTGTGGATATCTGATATGAAGTTTGCAGTCAAATCAATCCTCTTCAAATGGTCTGGCAGAGAAAGAGAATACAACAGATTTATAAGAATGTATTTCCTGAAATTTAAAAAAAACTCTGTCTATGTCTTTCTCTATACATCTTTCAGTGAAAGACCTCAAAGTTTAATTTTAAGATTTCTGTATGTTTTGGTAACCTTATAAATTATTATCTTTTGGAAAAATGACACTTTTAAAGGGAAATAAATATATTTTCTACTACCTTGTTCCACATTTCTTTATTTCAACACTTTCCTATATGTAAGAGATTTGATATATTGACTTCTTTATAAAATACACTCAAGCCCTTTTTCCAATTAAATAAAAACCCCAAAATTAAATGAAATATTTGGGGAGTTTTATTTCTTTTATAGAGATGATTGCAAGTAACAGCAAGAAGATCAATGATCATTGTTATTTATAATAATTCAAAAGTTTGACAGAGAATCTGCATCTACCTTTATCCTCCAAAGTAACAAAATGCATGTGTATTTGTGTGTAAAATTTGCCATAATCAAACATTATATAAAATATAACACTATATTTTTGGTTGATATGAGCCATAAATAATCAAAATTAAAGCTGATTTCAATAATACTGGTATCCATACTTAAGTTAGCAAAGTCATTTCTGCTGATCTTCTTGATTCTGTTATAGCGGGAATAAAAATAGGTGGTTTTCCTAGGCAATGGTGGAACAGCATGAAGCTCACGATCATCACAGTAGACTGTGGTCCCTAGGCATGTACACAAAAGGCAAGTGGGAAGACCTATCAAGGAATTTAAAAGAGAAAACATTTTTTTTAGAAAGGACATGAATAAAAGTCATACATAAATTACTACAATGAAATGCTCACATAAGCTGCTAATGATCAGTCTTTGTCTATGGTAAAGTTCACTTCCCATTCTGCTTTGATCACCAAACCATATAATTGCAACACTAAAGTGATTAAATTTTTAAAATTCTTTTTAAAATGAATTTATTTTTCTCCCTGTGCCTAGAAGAACAATTAACTTGTTCTAATAAGTTGTTTCTCAGACTATAATAGACTATTTGGTGACAGCAACTAGCCAGAAGTTGATTTCCCCTTAAGCTAGAAGGTGTACACTTCCATCTGGATGGAGGAATAATAGCTGATGAATGATATTTTCTACCTGATCTGTCTCTCTGACATTCTCTTTCTTTCCTCCCCCTCCCTTTTTACATTTCTTTCTACCTCTCTCTCTCTCCCCCTCACATTTACTATTAAATAGAATTCGTCCTATTGACTTTGGCATATGGTCTCATTTACACCTTTATTCAGGCAGAGGCATCCCTCTAACAGTTTTAATAACTGGCTTATAACACTTGCGACACTGACTTTTTGATACATCTTTTATGAGTGTATTATGAATATACATTATGAGTATAAATCAGCATATCTGTTTATCAACTTTTAATCCCATAGAAATACTTTCCTGTTTCATGTTTTCACCCCCCTTGTAGCAGATGGGGTGGTTTGCTCTTGTTATTTATAGAATAGTAGGATAATTCAGGAATACGAAAATGTTTTTCTTGCAGATTGGTTTTTTCTCCAGGTCAGATGTGGCCACATGAGAAATGTGCCTTCTTAATCTGCCCCAATTATCTGTAGGTTATTGAGGTGCCTTTTGAGGCAAGATTAAACAACCAGTAGCCAGAGTACTCTTTTATTTTTATGTGATAATCATTACTTGGACATCCAGGAATACAATTTCCCTAGAGATAAGGATCATTTCATGCTTTCCCTAACTTTCTCCACAGGACAGATTAAATTGGCTGCAGAGAGTAGGTCTGATACAGGGAAAAAAATATTCCCACCTTGAACTGTTCTGGAAAATCTGGGCCGAAATGAATATTGAGTTAAGGATGGCTGACATTTTTTCATAATATTGCAACACAGTACCATAGTATGGGGAAAGGGTTTCACCCTGTCCTATTTTTGTTTTTGGAGGAGTGGTATTTTTCACCTATATCTGGTGGACACTGAAAAAAAACAGAGGTAGAAGAAGAATTCAAAAAGATAACAACAAGAAAAATGAGCTTGGCTTAGTGTTACTGAGCCTTGTCTTTTATTCAGTACCAGGTCAATAGCGGCAACATCTGACAGGAAAGTATGTTGCTAAAATAAAGACAAAAGAGAAATCTGATTTGATGTGTTACTGTCTTGAGCATTTCTTTAGTTGATGCACTACTTGATTTGCATTCAGTACTCAAAAATGTTGACAGACAAAGAAACCATCATATAGAATATTTACAGGATATGATGTAAAATCCTCTAATTTTCAAATTTGAAAAAAAATGTATGGGCCTTTTTTTTTCCTTTTTTCTAGAATCTCCTTGGAGGTTCTCATTCCATTTTTATTTGTTTTGACAGTGTATATTTTTGCCTGGTCAAGATCACTTGTAGTATGTACCAAAATAAGGCTATGAATTATTAACTTCATTGAATACACAATTTTGGAAGCAGTAACTCTGGGGTTTATGTTTGGGGTTGTTTTTTTTTTTTTAATTTCATTTTTCATCTGTGTAACTCAGCTGTAGTGTTGGGCATAGTAGAAAGTAGGATTTTCCTGTTACTGTATGTTGATCACCATAAAACACAAAGATCCCTCACAGAAATTGATAACTCTAGTGGACTTTACCTACTATAATTTAGAGGAGCTTCTGACAAATGCCAAAAATTAGCAGTGCGAAATTTGTGTGGGAGAGGGACAGATTGTGTTTTGCAATTTTAATTCCCCTGCAAGATTTATAAAGTTCTTATTTCACTATTGATAGTCAGAAGAACTGAAAATTGTCTCCACTAAAAAGTTCTAAGTAGCTCCCTTTCCTTAAGTTTTTCAGTTTATAACTTTCATGGTCAAAAATTCTTCAACATTTTAATTATACTTTGTATTAACACATTTATAAAAAACATGTAGCAAATCATTATAAGTAAAGACAGTTGATAATGATATTGAAATCTAAGACAAAAACACAAGTACTGGTAGCATTTCCAACCATCAGCAAATTTTCAAGTTGTAAATCTTCTGGAACAAGTGGCACAGTTGTTTTCACAGTGAAGTAGTATGGAGACCTTTTGACTAAGCACCTATCTGACTTTGGAGGAGGATTCAAGATAGATTCTTTCTTCAGTAAGAGACATACAGAAACTATGTACTTCATTTTTAGTAAAAAAGAAAATAAAATGGGCTTGCTCAAAATCAACACTACACACAAAAACATTTCTCTTTCCTACTCACCATCTTGAGTCTGGGGTCCAAGAACCCCTGACCCCTGTGCTGAAGATCCATCAATTAATTTTGGTGTTGATGCTTCATCCTCAGTTTCTTCTGTCAATGGTGCAGAAGAATAACTCTCTTGAATTACAGACAGTAGTTTTGTCCCAATATCTGTCTAGGAAAAATTAAAAGGAATTGTTACTGTTTACTTCCCTTGGAAGCTGTTTCTCTTGCAGTTATTCATATTCTTCCACTAGAGGTCACATATTTTCTGAGATTTAGTGCTGGAGCTGCATTTTATCCGGAGCTATAATGAATTCTGATGATGTATAAACAATTCATGAAAATCCAATATACTTGTTCACTTTTTGTCTGTGTTTTGAGTTTTTTCCTGTATGCACACATGCATATACTTCATTACTAAGAATATATATGAGAAAAATTATTTTTCCATATTTATTTAAAGATAAATTAGATTTGTGATAAAAATTGATAAACTGTATGTAAAACATGAAAATTTGCTATGAAATATCAAAAAGGTGCAAGTCATTTACCATAAAATTGTAAATTGTACCATCATAAATCCAAATCCAATATAGGTGTGCGGGCTCTGCTTAGAACACTAACATGATTTTAAAATATTACTTAATAATTCTGAACTCCAACTTCACATAACTTTCTAATATGTTAAAGACTCTGCTTAACTTCATTCATTAGTAGCTGTATTATGTATTATGAAAAAATTGATATATTGGATAAAACCTTGGTTTTAAAACACTTATAAAATTTGGAAGATCCTTGCATAGAACTAGAAAACTTATTTTGTCCTTCAATCAACATAACTAATCAAAGCATTTAATTCTGTCAGGTTAACTCTAATTCTAAAAATGCATTCTGTTGATTTTCTTATATGACAATTCAGGATAAAAATTAAGGTATAGCAATTTTCTTGTTTCACATCACCTCTCATAAAAAGAGTATTGGAGACTTGCCATGCTTGTTGCAGAGGGGGGGGTCTATGTTAGCAAAGAGGTAGAGTTGTTTTCTGTAATCACCCAGACAGTTCTGTGATCTTTGCAAGTTACTTTCCCAGTGTATCTTCATTTCCCCATGTTTAACAGTATTGTTCAGCTGAGCCAGAGCCCCTTTTGAAAGTGCACTCTATTCTTTAAATCTAAAACAATTAATTACTATCATTACAAGGTTTCACACATCAGAGGTGCTGTTAAAAATGTAGGTAATTGTGGAGACCCTGGGGGGCATCCCCTAGTTTAGGGATTCGGAAGAATCTTCACCCTAAAAGCTGTTAAGACCCCATTGGCTCCTACCCCTGTTCCCATGTCTGTTCCTATGTCCCTGAGCCACTCCCTCCCTATTCCCTGATTGGCCCTCATCTTTGTACTGCCCTGAGACCCGGTTCACCCCCTGCCCCTCGGATAGAGAGAAACCTGGACCCTCCCTGTGTGTGCCTGGGACCTGAACATCTTACCAGGTGCCTGAATAAAGCATCTGTGGATACCATGCAAAGGCCCTTTTTGCTTCCTTGCCCTGGACTTTATTAGCAGTAATTCAGGCTGCAATAGGTAATGCATTTAACCCTGCAGGTGCTTCACCCCTGTGCTGCATTTAGCGCTCCTTTTCTTTTTCTAAGACACGGCCAAATACAGAAATTTTGGTCACAGTATCATTATTCCAAGTGCAAAGGCACCAAAGCCCAAAATCCTGCTTCAGTTTTCATCCACTGCAGCTTTCTAGCACAACACCACCACAAAACTATTGAATCCTGAGTCTTTAACCTGACCAAGCATCTCCTTTTTTGACACCATCCCACAGCTACTGCTTTCTTTGCTGTTTTCATGATGAACCAGTTGTTGAAATCCATCACAGTAGTGTTCATAAATTATAATTGTAAAAGACAGGTAAAAAGTAATTGACTGGCCAAATAGTTAGAACTTTTAAAATTTGGTTTTGTATGTAGACTATAGAAGCTAAAGGAACTAAAACACCTAACATCTGGATTCCAAGCACAGGCAAATCTTTGCTGTATTTGATCCCTATTTGAATCTCTTTGTATGTGTATATATATATGTAATTTGTAACATATTAATATTTAATATGTGATTCTGCCCTCCTGCTCTGTTCTTGTGGGACCCCACCTGCTGTATTGGATCCAGCACTGCAGTCTCCAGCCCAGGGAGAACATGGGCCTGTGTGGAGGAAGTTCAGAGGAGAGCCAAGAAGATGAAGACAGGCTGAGAGAGTTGGGGTTGTCCAGCCCAGAGAAAAGTAGCTTTCCAGTGCCCAAAGGGGACCTTACAAGAAAGCCGGAGAGAGACTTTTTAGAAGGACATGTAGTGATAGGACAAGGGGGAATGGCTTGAAGCTGAAACTTTTATATATTATTAAAATCTTTACTGTGAGGGTGGTGAGGCATTGGAAATGGTTGCCCAGAGAAGTTATGGAGTCCCTTGCTCAAGGCAAGGTTGGATGGGGCGTTGAGCAACCTGGGCTAGTTCAAAGTGTCCCTGTCCATGGCAGGGGGATTGGAAGTAGAAGATCTTGGTCCCTTCCAACACAAACAATTCTATGACTCTATGAACTGTGAAAATTTCGGAAAAAAACACTTTACCTCTCATAATAGACTATCTTGCAGCATAGCTATATATAATTACAGGCAGTATTAAGGATTATGATCCTGGATTGCCTTACAACATCTTAATAACTACCTAAAATCTAATTTTTTTTGTACGTAAATAATTTCATTTAGGTTATATAATGGCAATAGGTTCAAATATTTTATATCAATTAGTTTCACTGAAGACAGAGAACATGAAAGCAATAAAAAACCAGTAAGCACTCTGAACCACACAGGCTCAGATTTTGACTAAGAACATTTTAGATTTTCTGTATCTTCTTTTGTTGTATTCTACTAAGCCACAAATGCTATTACTAATTAGAGTTTATGGATAAAAATGCTCCAACACAGTTGCAAAGTTCACAAAATGCAAGGTAATCAAATGAGCAAGATGACCTTCAGCTGAACTGAGTAACTTTGAGTTGATGTAAGTAAGGGTAAGGATGTACCTTGTCCTTTTGTGCAGACAAATACACAATGTTACCATCTGCAGCACTGACAGTAGACAGCTTAACCAGGAATGGACTTGGGGACAAATCAAAAGAAGGCTTTGGGAACAAAGGAAATGGGACAGATGTTCTCCGAATGGAGGAAGCCTAGAGGGAGAGATACATTCCAGACTTTTATTGACCCAGGTTAGTGCTGCACTAAAGTTCTTGCACATGCTACTTCTTCACCAGATTTGTGGAAATCAGATAAGAATCCCTCTTCTGAACTTCGGAATTAAATCCAGAGATTTAAGATCTGTAAATGTCTTTATATGCAACTTTTCTTCTACTGAAAGTAATATTCTATAGAAGAGTATTTTCAAGATAGGCTTTGTAATTAGGCTTCAGAACAAAGATAATTTTCATTTCACTTGTTATGGGGTTTGGGTCATCTACACTGACTGCCACCTCTCTGCATTTTTGGGGCATGCTTTATGGAACTTACTATCTTAGGATTTGTTATTTACTTTATATTTACTTTATGCTTTCTGAGGGTTTTTAGTTGATTAATCACTGCAGCTGTTGGCTAGCAAGTGGAGGTGTTAACCTCTAGTACTTCCATTTCTACATTGTTATCTCTTTCTTACTGTAGGATGTCACCTAGATTTGCAGGTACACAATTGAAAGTCTCCCAGCAGTTTCCCTGCAAATGCTCTATGTCTGGGGTTTAGGGAAACTGTTCCAAATAGTTAACTTTATCTGTTCAGTGTTCTGCAGTTGTGAGTGTCATAAGAAAATAAAAATTATTGATGTTAGATTAATGATGTTGCAATTTTTATACTTGCAACAGAGTAGGAGTTCATTGATATATGTGTTTTACATACCAGACCAAGAGCATGATCAGTATTTTCTTGCTGTACATAACTTGGACTTGAACCACTGACCTAAAGGTAAAAGTCTGTTTCCCATTATTGGTCATATGATCCATGCAGCTTTGTATCTTTTACAAGTTTCATAAATCATGCGAGATTTTAACAAGACAAAGATGTTTCTTGGACTATATGCTGTACAGAATAATCCCTCATTTTCCAGATGTTTGTTTATTTTTGGCAACTGGACTTTAATATAAAAAAAATTGAAACATAAATGACTGTATATCACTTAATGTCATTATTTTCCATTGGGTTTTTTTGGAGGGAGATGGGAGCCTGGAATTAGGCAGGGAGTGGACTTGTATTTCATCTGGTACTTTAAGAAATATTCTTTGTGAAAAATCACAAAGCAGGAAGAACATTGTAGAGAAATACAATAAGATGTGTTCCTCCTCATCAATATCTACAAGTCTTCAAATAATAATCTGCCTTCCAAGACAGTTTTAATAAATGGCATAAGAAAAAACTGAAGGGGCATCACATCACTTATCTTTAGCCATCTATGTGGTTAATAGTTACCCTAATCTGTCTTTGGAATCAATCAAGAGATTTAGAAAATACCAGTGCAGATTAGTCCCAGAACATGCCAAAGGACAGTGATATCTTTCCTAAGATTGCATGGAGTACCTACTTTTTTCCCTATCCTATATTTATCCAATGTGACTCCAATTTCCAATGAAAGATTACTTAGTGAGGCTGGCCAATTCAGAGGCACTTTCAGACCAGGAAGTTACAAAAGTCAAGAATGCAGAAATCAAAACACATCCATAAGTGATAAAATGCAATTGGTAAAGTCCAACTTGCTGCTTGCCATCCATAGGCTGGGCATTTAGTTATATTAGCATCACTTCACAGTCAGTATAGAATGAGACAAAACTTCTGAAAAGCAGCTCCAGATATTGGCTACAGAAATTCCTTTTAGGGTGGGCTCTTTAGGTATCTGTATCTCACCACTGACAGTAAAAGAGGTGAGACAAACAAAAGACTCGGAGAGGATCAGGAGTTTATTTTACGTGTCTTTTTTATGTGTCTATTTTATGACAACATATTTTAGGATCAAACCTGATGTATTACATGTGATAAGTTTAAATCCACAGAAGAATTCTGAAGTGTGTTCTGTTTCAGTGTTTCTCTTACTGCAAAAAAATAGATTTAATACACAAATAAAAATGCAAAACTT